TTAGAGTCTAAAACTAGCCTGAAATTATGACATAATTAGGTTTGGGATTCAAGTTTTTTTGGTTTGCTATTGGTTTTGTCATGTTCATGTTGGATTTGGAATTTTTTTTGCAGAAAATGATTTCAAAAAAATCGATAATAGGTTCAACGAAGAGCGAGATCGAAGAGCCTTAAATTAGCCTTGAATTATGGTGCCACTCAATATTCTTATATTCCTTGTATTTGAGATTTGGTTCTACTAACTTAACGGTAAGCTAGCAAAACCCATGATTTTTAAAAAAAAAACAGTGTGCGAAATATATTCGCAATAGGCTAGGATCAGAGCCTTAAATCAGCCTGAAAATTATGGCATAATTAGTTTTGTGATTGAATTTTTTTTTTGGTTTGCTATTGGTTTGTCATGTTCATGTTGGATTTGGGAAATTTTTTGCAGAAAATGATTCTCAAAAAAATCGATAATAGGTTCAACGAAGAGCCTAAAATTAGCCTTAAATTATGGTGCACTCAATATTCTCATATTCCTTCTATTTGAGATTTGGTTCTGCTAGCTTAATGGTTAAGCTAGCAGAACCCATGATTGTTTTTAAAAAACGAGTAAAAAACAATGTGCGAAAAAATTGGCAATAGGCTAGGATTAGAGCCTAAAACTAGCCTGAAATTATGACATAATTTGGTTTGTGATCCAAGTTTTTTTGGTTTGCTATTGGTTTGTCATGTTCATGTTGGATTTGGAATTTTTTTTGCAGAAAATGATTTTCAAAAAAATCGATAATAGGTTCAACGAAGAGCCTAAAATTAGCCTTGAATTATGGTGCACTCAATATTCTTATATTCCTTCTATTTGAGATTTGGTTCTACTAGCTTAACGGTTAAGCTAGCAAAACCCATGATTTTTTTTCAAAAAACAGTGTGCGAAAATATTCGCAATAGGCTAGGATCAGAGCCTTAAATCAGTCTGAAATTATGGCATAATCAGATTTGTGATTGAAGTTTTTTTTTGGTTTGCTACTGGTTTGTCATGTTCATGTTGGATTTGGTAAATTTTTTGCAGAAAATGATTTTTCAAAAAATCGATAATAGGTTCAATGAAGAGCCTAAAATTAGCCTTAAATTATGGTGCACTCAATATTCTTATATTCCTTCTATTTGAGATTTGGTTCTGCTAGCTTAACGGTTAAGCTAGCAAAACCCATGATTTAAAAAAAAACAGTGTGCGAAAAAATTCGCGATAGGCCAGGATCAGAGCTTCAAATTAGCCTGAAATTATGGCATAATTAGGTTTGTGATTGAAGTTTTTTTGGTTTGCTATTGGTTTGTCATGTTCATGTTGGATTTGGTAATTTTTTTGCAGAAAATGATTTTTCAAAAAATCGATAATAGGTTCAACGAAGAGCCTAAAATTAGCCTTAAATTATGGTGCACTCAATATTCTTATATTCCTTCTATTTGAGATTTGGTTCTGCTAGCTAACGGTTAAGCTAGCAAAACCCATGATTGTTTAAAAAAAACAATTTGCGAAAAAATTGGCAATAGGCTAGGATTAGAGCCTTAAATTAGCCCTAAGTTATGGCATAATTAGTTTTGTGATTGAATTTCGTTTGGTTTGCTATTGGTTTGTCATGTTCACATGTTAGCTTAACGGTTAAGCTAGGGAAACCCATGATTTGTTTTTTAAATCAGTGTGCGAAAAAATTGGCAATAGGCTAGGATCAGAGCCTTAAATCATTCTGAAATTATGGCATAATCAGGTTTGTGATTGGAGTTTTTTTTGGTTTGCTACTGGTTTGTCATGTTCATGTTGGATTTGGGAAATTTCTTGCAGAAAATGATTTTGAAAAAAATCGATAATAGGTTCAACGAAGAGCCTAAAATTAGCCTTAAATTATGGTGTACTCAATATTTTTATATTCCCTCTATTTGAGATTTGGTTCTGCTAGCCTAACGGTTAAGCTTGCAAAACCCATGATTTTTTTGAAAAACCAATGTGCGAAAAAATCGGCAATATGCTAGGATTGTAGCCTAAAATTAGCCTTAAATTATGGCATAATTAGTTTTGTGATTGAACTTTTATTCACGAAGTGGTTCTGCTAGCTTAACGTTAAGCTAGCAGAACCCACGTTTTTTTACATAAATCGAAGAGCAATAAATTCGGCAATAGGGTAATAAATTAGGCTTAAATTAGCCTAAAATTATGGCCGAAGAAAAAATTGAAAAATTCGAAGTGGTTCTGCTAGCTTAATGGAGGTATGAATATTCATCATACAGGATGGAAAGATATGGAAAGATGTGGAAAGAAATTCTGAATTGAGAAAACCTAATCACAAATCTGTGATTGAGGTCTATAAAAATAACAAGTTTCAATCATTCAAGTTTGAACCCCTTGATTGGGTGAAAGTATTGAAAAGGAATATTCCCAGATATAATTATGAACATAAAAAAATGGATATATATACACCGTGTCCCAGCTAAAATGTCCCCCCTTGTAAAAAATCAACAGCGCGATCGAATGACTTGAAATTTGGTCACCCAGTATATTTGATGATGCTCACTCGAATTATGCTATTGAATAAATCGTAGGTATACAGGGTCACACCGAAGTGCACCTCAACTTTCTTATTTGAATAGGGACACCCAGTATTTTATTCTATATTCAAGTGGAGTTCATTGTTACAGATTCAACAATGCTGGGTTTGATGGGATTTTTTCAAATGACTACGAAGAAATGGCAAAAAATAAAACGATTCAATAAAAAATTTATATGATTAGATTTCATCAATATAACAGGATTGAAATCGAATGAATAGAAAATAATTAAAATCTAATAACCACCAATTGTATTGATGGTGATAGCAACTGGCCAGCTCGGTCGCCAGACATCACCCCACTTGATTTTTATTCGTGGGGCTACTTGAAACAACAGGTTTATGAGTTTTCAAATTTTAAAATTCCGAGTTATAACTCAGAATTTAGGAGTTTTCTTTTTTTTTATTTTACGTGTCCCTTCCAGGCCATCGTATATTGAGCTGGGAGACGGTGTATATATATATATACATAAAGAAATACATTGAGAATTCTCATTCTCTATGTGATGAAAATATCAATTCTTTCTGGGATTATTCAACAGAAAACAACTACTTTCCTGGTTATATGCCATGACGAAAATTGAATTACATCTATTGAACACACAGGATAAGAATTTGAAAACAATATCATAAAACATCATATTATTCTATCCAATTTAAGAGATGATGTCAATTCTCAATTTCAGAGAATTTTCATTTTTCATGCTCTCTTTTTGAATGCTACAAAATCAGACAACTATATTATTATGATCTCGAGAATCTTCCAAATATGAGTTATAGAGCTAGTTGGTATTTTGATTTTTTTGATGAGGGTGAAAAAGGGGTGAAATTGATGCTAGGTACAAAATCAGACAACTATCTGATTGTGTTCAGGATTCTATTTCAAATCTGTTTCAAGAAAACAATCATTCAAAAATTTATTTTCAGAGCTCTAGGATGAGGAGTGAAATAAATGCTACAAAAACAGACAACTATCTGATCTTGTTGTCCATCAATGAGGGCTTAAATTTTTACTCTCACCAGTTGGTAATACTAAAACTTGAGGTTTAAAAGTGTGTGTTTAAAAGTGTTTTTAACCGCCAGCTTAGTTGCAAAGCAACCCTCGAAAGTCAGAGACTTGTGTGAGTTAAGAAGACGGGGACCTTAGCTTTTTAAGTGTCATCCGAAGCACTACTCGGCTGGTAACCGTGGACAGTCCAGGTGGACTGTCAAAGTCAAAAATCTCGAAATTTTCTCATCAAAAACATTAGGAAAAAATGATGTAGAATATTTGAACAAATAGAAAATCTCAAGTTATGGAAACACTTCAACAGACTCATGTGTTTTTACTATCAATGGAACTTTATGTAATTCTTACAATGATGGAAATGGAGATATCCTAGGAAGATGCCAAGTGACACAAAAAGAAGAAGTATATTTATCAGTTATAACAAAGTGGCAAGATGTGGTGGACAATAAATGATGATAGTAGAATAAATCATGAAATTCATAGCATTTCCAGTTCTAATTTGATATGAGTGAGTTTCATCAACATCTTGTATTTGATCAACATCTTGTATTTGTGGCCTGCATATGGAGATCTCACACCTGTACCCAGTATGTACATTCTGGTGCTATGTTCCTTGCTTCTTACATGAAATTGGAAAGAAATTTGGATTTGGCTTCTTTGACATCAAGGTACTCTAGCATTACTCTAGTATATTATGACTTCTCCCATGCAGGGAAAATTATCTCTTCTTATTTTGATACTTTTGGTTGCTGTTGATTGTTAATGCTTGTCCATGAGTTAGATGGGTCTAGAAAGCAATCCTCTGAGAAAAACACTATCATTCCCTAGAGAATCACTCAAGGGTTTTCAAGTGTTGCTTCCTAAGCGTTCCTAAGATAAAATGATCTGTCTCATCTCATTAATGACTGGATCATTAGACACACATAGGAGGAGATCATTATTTAATTATTTGCCTTATAGCAAATATTCTCCATCCAGTCCAATGTTACATAACAAATCATAATATTTGAAGAAACAAACTATGAATTATAAGCAATATAGAAAACACGTTATGAATATATCATCTTCTAGTCATATGAAGTTGTCCCCTGAAGAAGTGCAATAAAGAAATATATAAAAGTACCCACATGAAAAATCGGAGGAAAAATCAGCTAGTGAAGTTCTCTCCAACATAAACTTAATTTGAAATACTATCTAGGTAGAATGCACTATTGAGATGAAACATAGAGAAAGAACTACCTACCTACTTACTTTTTTATTGATTGGGCTCACATGTTTACTAACAAGGTGTTCTATTAAAAAAATGCTAAATCATTGTGATGGAATTTTCAAACCTATTTGAAACGTCAAAATGATGAATATATATGGGAAAGTGGGCAAATGGAATTGTTAAAAATAAGTTGTACATACCATGCATGGTATTAAATATGGTGATTGTTGAGGTAGACCTAACCTTATTTTTTAAAATAGGTGTAATTTTTGCGTCAAGGTCATTTACACTTCACAGATTGGTATTATAGGGTAGAGTCTGCCTCCACTTGAAAATATTAAAAGTCTTGATAGTGTTATTGAGGTATTAGCACTTGAAAATCACTATTGAACATCCAAAACATTACCGACTTCTGAAAATTTTGTCAACAATTTCACCAGTCACTTTAGGCGTTTGACTTCATTTGACGTATGAATATGAAACTTTGTTGACACCACTTCATTGAATAATGTTACGTGATATCACTACCACTCACTATCTAATTTCGTTTACCATAGGAAAGAACATTCAAGAATATTGTTGACGAAGATTGATCATGATGAGAATGTTTTCAAATAATAAATAAAGGTAATAATAATTAATGCCAATAACCGGGAAATAGAGTGTCATCTTGAATTTTTATTGGTTCACTAATCGCAATTAAACAATTTACACGACTAATAATTTAGATCATTTTCAACTAGGACTTCAAAGACCATGTGGCTCATTCAGTTTCCAGTGCTAATAAGAAGTCTTCCGGAGGCACTATTACCGATTGATAAAAAGGAGCAGATTCTTGACGCTGGAGATGATACACAAAAATAGCACTCAACTTTCTGGTTTACGTGAGACACAGCTAAACCTACACAATCTACATTGATTACTCTTACCGCTTTAATTACTTTCCAAAACTCAACACAAATCCGCGGAACTGGCAAGATGGCTGTCGTAGCGCAGGAGCATTAGGAGTTAGGAGCACTCAGCACACACCACACAAACATTCACATCACAGGAAAACTATTTTCAGAGAATGAGAAAGAGAAATGTCAAGATTGCCAAATGACTCATCAAGCTGCCACAACACGGGAGGATCGCGACAGATATTTCCAGTGCTTGACGCTGCCGCCGTTTGGATGGCTGTGTGATTGATGCTGTGTGGTTGCTGTGTGGCTGTTGGCTACTGAGCTGGATAATTACGAAAGCATCCTGCTGGTGTCACGCAAACTTTTATTTTGTGTCATTATACCTCACGACTTTTCTCTCATTATAATGACTTTTTTCTCATTATGATGACCTTTATCTCATTATAATAACTTTTTTCTACAAACGTCAAAAAATGACAGGGTTCGCGCATTGATAACAAATTGCGAAGTGACACTTTTTTCCAGTTACCTACGTTATCAGGATACCTTGCACAAAACAATGCGCGAAGTAAAACAGTGCGCGAAGTACCTACTTATTCGCACATTGTTATGTAAAATAAATGAGCAATTCATATTTCAACTTTATGGTCCTCAATCGAGCAAACATCCACGAAATCATTCATTTCTGAATGTTCAACAATAACTTTGTTTTATCTCTTGAAGCGCACGAAAGGAAATTCCTATTATGTTCGTGGAACATCGTGCGTACCTAGGGAGGATAGGGGGAGGCCTTTCGAGCCAGTTCAACACTATTTTATATATCAAGCAAAGCATATGTTTACTCCAGAACTATGTTTTTTGACGTTTGTAGAAAAAATGTTGTTTGCAACTCGAGCGCTAAATTCTTTGGTCATCTCGATTATTTTTTTAACTCGGCTCTCGATCACCAAAGTAGCATTTCGCGCTCTAGATACAAAAATAACTATTTTCACATTAAATGACGTATATTATATTGACTTTTTGCTCATTATAATGACTTCTCTCATTATAGTGACTCATTTCTAATTATAGTGACTTTTATATTATTTGCCTTCATATTTTCTCATTGAACATCGTTATTTGTTGTGTTTTAATAGTTATAAGTCATTATTTTCAATTTAATTTCTCACGATTACTTTCAGGATTGAAAAAAAATGAGAATGGTAGCCTTATAATTATTATCTCTTAGTTATAAAGAAATCACGGTATTTTAACATTATTATTCCATTAACACTCCATGAGTTAATTATAACGGTGAGAAGAATATTGAAGATAAAATGGGCCTCTGGGACCAAGATTATATCCCGAGGCTTCAGCCGAGGGGTATAAGGTCCCGTGGTTATACTATTCTTCACTACCAAGGTGTATATTTTTCACCACTAGCAATATATTTAAAAAATTTCAGTTCTGTGAAACTGAAATATGAACTTATTTTCACTATTCGCGATAGAAAATAACACGTCGCCCCACCTGACGGCAGTAACTTGAAGAGTTCTGAGCGGTTTGTTTTGATGATATAAGCTTATTGCACAAACAAAAAACAAATGTGAACCAACGAAAACAAAGTAAACATGTCGCTTTGACAGTTTTCAAGAACTCCGATAAGTGGAGTACGCTTATTTTCTATCGCGAATGGAAGCACGTCTTTGCAATTCTAATTAAAATCTAGTAGCCACGACCATGAAAGCATATGCCATATCTTATTGATAAATACCTACTAGATTCGAATGCCATTCCTGCGAATATCGCCATCAGAACAGTGAAGTCAGGTTAATTACAACAGAGGTGGCTATGTCTTTATTGACTAGTGGTTCATAAAAATGTGAAAACACACTTTACGCCTCGAGAAGGAGTAAATAATGGTAGGTTTAATATCTAGTGGTGGAAAAACATATTTTACTCCCTCGCCAGAAGTTTTGGATGTCACAGAACAAGTTGAGATTTATGGACATCTATCGATGGTTGGTCGATGGATGCATTTAAAATGCATGCAGGAAGGTTTAGTTATGAACAATAGCGTTAGAATCATATTGAAAGAATTTGACAATATTGGTGTTAGCCTTATAAGTAGGAGGATAGGACCTGGTGCAATTAATTGTGCAATTGATAGCTACTCTTGATAGATAATTTGGCTACAAGCAGGTAGAGCTGTTAGTGATCCAAAAGAAGTTGGGGATATTTCATTATTATCTCATTATAATGGAAAAATGTCAATATAATGAGAAAACAGTCATTATAATGACTTTTCGAAAAAAGAAAAGTTTGCATGACACCAGGGCGCTTTCGAATAAAATAGCACCTGATATTGTTAAGGGCGCCGTACATTATGCTATTTACCAGCAAGTTCGATGCATCTATGATATTTCTCGGCAAGTTTCATGCAAGTTCCGTAATAGAACCAGTCCTATTTTTCCTGCAATTTCAAGGCAAGTTTAGTAAAATTATTAGTAATATTCATCGTAGCATCTTGATAAAATACAAATTTTCTCCATAACGTGGCCTGAAACACCAAATAACCTCAAAAAGTACATTGAAGGCTCAAAAAACCTGAAAATAGTGAATATGAACAAGAAAATATGACAGAAATATCTCAATGTACGGCGACTCGCAATAAATTGAGAAAATTGCGAGAAAATTGCATTGCCTCAAACTTGCTGAGAAATAGCATAATGTACGGCGCCCTTTATTCTAGTAATATAATTGGGATGACATAATGTAGGTAGGCGTTGGCCCTATGTGGCCGCGTGACAACTGAGATGTTTTTTATCATTTGGTGCACACGAAAGGAAATCCCTATAATGTTCGAAGAACATCGTGCGTACCTAGAGAGGATAGGGAGAAGAAGTAGGAGTTGTTTTTTTTTAACTTTTGGAGATTAGAATAAGTTCTTGGAAATACTTCCTCAGGCAATTAATTCCAGAGCTTTGCCGTTCTATAGAGATCGAAACGAGTTTTGAAAAAGTGCTGTTCACCATATTTCTAGGTTGACATCGAAAGGATGTGCTGACTGTGCTTGTCGAGTTCGTCTGACTGGTATTGCTAGTCGTGGAATGATAGGAGAGATTCTGAAGAACATTTCCCGTTGAAGTAACTATAGAAAAGTTAAAGGTCGCCGATCTTCCTACGGTGTTCCAGTGATGTCGAGGTGTTAGTGAGTGTGGCATCACCCACCAGGGAGATGCCTCTTCTCTGGATGGGATCTGAGGGTATCAGAGTATATGTTTGGGTGCTGAACCCCATATGTGGGAACAGTATTCTAGAACAGACCGGAATAAAAATCCGAGTATTGCTGATGGAGAAAGCAAGCATAGATATATTTGAATTGATAGGAATGGCAGTACTATACATTGTTATATCAGGCATACTGAGTTCCGCTTTTCTAGAGAAAATACAGGCTTGAGTTTTGCCGGCGTTGAATTCAACTAGGTTGTTGGTTTCCCAGGCTTTGATTTTAGCAAGATCTTCATTGACAGCATTGACCTGCTTTCTCTGTGAGTTCTTAGTTTCCTGGGAAGAAATGGGAATTCTGAAAGAGAACGCAGTATGGAGAGTATACTATCATCTGCAAAACTGTGGATAGGGCAAGTTTTTGCTCCCAACAGATCATTTGTATGAAGTGAGAAAAATTTTGCCAAAAATGATATTTGTGGAACGCCGGAATTGATGGCAATGGTATCAGACGATTCACCGTCCACCACAGAAGGTGTTTTATCAAGGATGGTTGCCATGGTGACATTGGTCAAAAACTGACGGCACTTATAAGGCCATATTTTCAATGGTCATCGGACCAAATAACAATCATTTTTACTTACGACAAAAATAATACAGAAAATGGTGTAACTAGGTTTATTTTTCAGTTCCTATTTCCATTTTATGGTAGAGAATTCGCACATTGATATCTATTAGAAAAAGATGTAAAGCGGCGTTCACAACCAAACTTTTTACGTTTTGCTTTTTACGTTTCGTATTCTGATTGGTGAAGCAGAATCTGAAATTAAACGTGAACTAAACCAATACTAAGGCTATATTCCGAATTCAACTGGTCAGTACTGTAAGTTCATCCACTGACTCTGCTGAAAATCTGTGTTCCGAAATATAAAATCAAAAATTCACTACTGTAATTCGGGACACGTTTTCATGGTTTTCATCAGTAGTAGTTTCTCGTTTATCTGAACTAGATGTTTAGCCTCCTACTTGTTATAAATTTTGGAAATTTAATATTCAACATGGAAGAGAAATCGATTCTTGTATCCTCTATAGTTTCTACGATTGTTGACGATGGCGATTCTAGCTCGAGTGATGAAGAATACTTGGACATTTTGTTGCCATAAATTTCTCATGATGCACCAGATTGAGAATTGAGATTCATGAAAATCGCAATATGCCTTAATAATAATGAATTTTAGGAGACATTCCAGGTTTATTTAGTTTATTTAGCCAATGCTGCTCCTTTCCTTGCCTGCTCTTCTACTTCATACTACTTCATACTCAGCAGTCGGACTCTGATGATTAGAACTGTCATTGTAG